AATGATAATAATAATAATAATAATAATAATAATAATGATAATAATAATAATAACAATAATAATAATAATAATAAATCTTTTGTCATCTTTTCAATAGAAGTCTAAAATTGTTTAATCGTCTGAATTAATATTTTAGTGTCAATAAGTTAGACATTGCCATCATCATTTTGTTGAAAATTAAACGTAGCGAAAAAGTTGCCATCTAAGCAATTGAAATTGTTTAATACTTTAGTATCGATAACAAGTTTTCATGATGGGCCATGGTTACAATACAACAAAAAAACTTTTGCTTTGTATAAAATTCGGTTTATATTCAAGTATGGCCTGAAAGGTGGCTTGCATTATTTAATAAATTTTGGCAAATTGAAAGAACCAATTGGAGAGGTTTGTATGTTCTCTGAAACAATGACAGCTAATGTTCAATTTTATCAAATTTGATTCATATGTTTTTATTACGATAAAGAATGTTTCATTGTACTCTCTATATGGAACCCGTAAAATATCTAATTTGCTGTTTAAATTATCAATTCATAAGCCCAAGCTTGGTGTAGTCGAAATTTTGCTTTAGAATACAAATGCTCGGTCAACTAAATTTGCAATTTGAAATGTTAGATTATAAGTAAATGGATACAATTAATTATTAACTTATCAAATCTTCTAACATCTATGCCCATAAGCCTATCTCAATTTGCTGTCATATGTCCGACATACTATCCTAAATCCGTTTACTAGCTAATTAAATCCGGAAATCAGATATTAATGGAATTCGAACTATGTCATAAGGATCCCAAAGAGAAACAATACTTCTTCCTCTCATCCGTATTGGTCAGTGAAGAGGGAATGGAAATGAATGGACACATCAGTAACAACACGATCGATTTTGATTATATATTTTATGGTTATCCAGTACCAAAAATTCCGGCTAGTGAAAGTTATTCATTCTAAAACTTTATTTTTTTTTCTTTATCCACATTACTTTAAGATAGAGAAGGAGAGTGAGAGAGAGAGAGAGAGAGAGGAGTAGTGAGAGTATATCAGTAGTACTGTTTGTAAAAGATACTCCAAGTGAACGAAGGTGGAGTGATCGTTTAGGAAAGCTGAAAATGATACATTAAAGATTTAAATAATCATAATTAAATGGATTGCTGACAACAGTCTCTGTTAAAGTTTCTGGAAATCTAAAACATATAATAAGAAAAGAAATAATTAAAATATCTGAAATATACAAGTTTAGTTGCAAGGTGTACTTTTATTATTATTATCTTCAGAACCACAACGAAAAAGGATTCAACTTCATATGCGCTTGAGAAACTTCATACCATTTACATTCACTGGTGCAATATCGTATGCTGGTTCGTTCTTTCAGGGAGATTGCCGTGAAGGCGTAACATACTTGATCTTCGATACTCCGATCGCCATAAAACCTGTTTGTTGAAATTTGGTTCTACTTTTGCGGAAGATTTATCGAGGAATGAATTTAATTGCCACACTTCGAATTGAGGATTAGAATTCGATGTCAATCACTACTATGTCTAGCTTAATTAGTTTAGCATGACACATTTTAATTAATGGTGCGATTTGAATCTATTGATTGGATAAATAGTTAGATTTGACTTTTTTAGTTAAATTTTCGAAGGATTCATGTATTAACACTTGTTTTCACTTTGAAAACCAAGCAAACTACACCAAACTACACTGCTGTTAATCAACAATTAATATTTACAGGGATTGCATCTGACAGTATTTTATTCCAATAGTATTAATTTAACTCGACCCATACAAGATGAAAGACAAGTACGATATTATATGTCCTCAAATATAGAGTTCACAGAGGGTGATTACGAAGGCAGCAAATTCTGTTCAAATTTCAATACTCAGATCAGTGATAATGCTTCTGCAAGTGTAAATCTAGGTATGAAATTTTCACGACCTATACAGATAATAGATTAAATAGAATACTCTTTCTGTTATGATTGATCCGGGCAATTCCAAATGCGAATGAATGAATCCGTTATCTTCAATTGATCACCTTTTTAATATTCCTTTACGTGTCTTACGAAGCATACGACAATCTGTTTCGTCGACCAATTAAACTGCATTATTTTTACTTCACAGGATAAGTTTTCCATCTCCTCTCAATGATTTCCTTCCAAATCAGAGTGGAGTCGCAATTTGTCTTCAGAAATATCTACATATGAGAAATAAGTATTATTTAATTAAGTTCTAATTTTTTCCCAATCTCTTTTCCTTTCGCATGTGCATGAACAAGGAGAGAGAAGACGGGAATTTCAGATGATTTTCAAGATTTCCAAGATACCCAAGATTCCGATGAAAAAAGTTTGGATGAAGCTATTCTACCCAAACTACCAATTATCGTAGGAGCGGGAAAAGGACGGTTCATTTCATCGTATTTTTTGTTATTCATTCTTGGCATTGTAGTTTATTTTTTAATCTGTGAAATAAATGGTCATTAATTTTGTGTTCTTGAAAAGAGATATCAATAAAACGAGAGAAAACAAAATAGAATGCCTGTGCAAGAGAGATTATGGAAGGCAAGAAAAGGGCATAAAGCACCTGTTTACGGTCACTTCTCTTTAAACCAATAGAAGGCATGGTAAGTTATGATGGAATAGGTAAATTAGGGTATCTGTTGACGTGTTTTTCATAAAAAATAAATGAAGAAGGACCTTTCGGCTTTTCATATCCCAACAAACATGCCAAAGTGCAAAACATTCAGGTAACTTGACATTCTATCAGATGAGATAATTCAGATACTTGATCAAACTCTACCTGCAGGCAGGTAGAACCAGGTAACAGTGATCAGATTTAGACGAAGGCACTCTAATCGCATGTAGGCTCACCTGAAGAGCTTATCACTAGCATAAATGTCACCTGCCAACTTATAACGTAACACCGCACAACTCGCATTCTCCCCCCAATTGCAACTGTTTGGTAATTCCCAGATGGATGATGTTTTGAAATGGGTGTCATATTTATATTCGAGACTTGATTATTCATTTTTAGCTCGCAATGGGGCGTTGTAATGGGGAGTGCAAGAGTCGCACTTTATGCTTCCGGGAAAGTAAAACTAATTTCTTCCACATGATTTGAATTTATGTTATAGGAATAAAACTAATGGGAAGTGGAAGAGAGTTTAGATATTGTCAATTTTAATAATTTTATTACTTTTTCCTACCAGAAAATTGTGTCTTTTTTTCTCAAATGCAACAGGAATAATCATTTTTCAAATTCCTAAAGAGGAAAGTTTAATATGTTGAGGTGAATCTTGAATACTAGTACTTACTTGCTAAGCAATATATGTTTATAAGGTTTTATCTTACTGTTTTTTGTCATTAAGTGGAATTAGTATAATATGATCCGTGTAATTTTTTTCCAGGTAATAGTAGACTATGGTCTAAAGACTTTCGGGAGGTATGATTCTCCCTCTAAAAAATGCTTAATTTCACTGAAATTTAATTTATTTTCAAGTAAAAGATGGATGATCCGGTAGGAAGTGAAGACGATACTGTTATGGATATAGCTGCGGACGACCAGAATAGTGATGCAGGCGGCGCGGCAACATATAGAAAGTTGGTTTGGGAATACGAATTGAGCCGCGGAAGATGGATCAAGTATGAAAATGCAGTCAGCGGAAAGTTAAAGTAATCTTCCCTCACACCACCTTTGAATTATTAGCAGCACGTAAAATACTTAGGGAACGTAACGCAAATAAGTGGATTCGTAGAATATGTGATATAATGAAAATATGTGAATATGTGATTCCGGAAGATGTCAAAAACAAGTATTACGACAGAGGTGAATATTTGTAGAGGTGGTATGTACAGTTTTTTGTAGGTATCGAACGCAGTAACTTTAGTTTGAACTAAAGTTGTCCTTTAATCTACAATCTTTTTCATTTTCTCTGTTTTATTCGAAATCACTGAGTTTTATCGCCTTTTGAACAGCGAAAATATTTCATTCTTATTTAATTATGACTTGGTAAGGCACAATTTCATAGCATCTTTCATTAGTATTTCTCTCCACTTCTTCTCGTATTTGCATTATTTATGGAAACAAAAAGTTCTGTAGTTGATTTGATAATACCACTGAATTGGAATATTTGTCGTTCAAGTTACAGGTTTATAATTTAATAATTTATAGTCAAACTAGCTATCGTTCAAATTTATCTGAATGAGCAGTGTGTATTATAGTGAGAGCATAGCAAATAATGTTGCGGACTTTGAAATGGACGAATCTAAATTACAAATCGATTTCAACTTAATGAAACAGAAAAACTTGAGTACCGGTTTTGTTCGGTCTGTGAGATGCGCTATTCGAAATGACGAAGGTAAATCACTAGCAAATAAATCGAATTTTTCCCTCGCCTAATTCAGATTTTGGAATATTTCGTTGTAGGTGTTTACCGTGTCTGGGAATACATTGATTCGAAAAGACGTTGGCGAAGTATGGATCCAACATCTGTCATAACATTAGAAAATGCTTTCGTTAATGGATCTGGAAACGTTAAAATACTGCTGTCGGGAATAAATTTCATTGCTGATTTCGACAGTAATCTAATCAGAAGTGACGACGGATTGACGGAATATAAAGTTAGTAGGAATCAGTTTTTCCTGAAGTCTTTGTGAAAAAGTAGCTCTTCCATTCATTAATTTATCGGATAAATTTTGTCTTGGTTAGGAAATTTTGCTAGTATCTCTATATGATATCAGATCCGTTCATACATCTCGAATGCCGAACCCTCAATGTCAGCAAAACCAGTTCCAAGGATCGAACGTCTTCGTGCAGTAAAACGTATTGCAGCACGGACCAATACACCCTCGACTGAAAGTAAACGAAAGGTTAGCCAGCACAGCTTCAAAATTTTTCATGTTTGCGAGCAAATAACGGTATAGAAAAAGTAGTTCTCGGAGGATGAGTGAGACCAAAATATCTCTCTAAGATGCTGTCTTAGTGGCGTCGATATTAAAGGTGATAGATTTGTTACACTATTCAATGGATTGTCATATCCTTTCCAGAAAGATGGGATTAGTACCATCGTACTAAGTGAAGTTGTTAGTAGTGAAATAAACATATGAAATCCAGTAGTCTAAGTTGTAAAGTCGTTCATCATTAAAAGAAATCCTTATTTTCCGAGAGGGAAGGTTAATTTTATAAGTAATAAAGTATGGCTTATGTTACCGTTCTCGACTATCTCAATCATCTTAAATATTTCGACAAATCGAAATTACAGGCGATGTGGGAGAAAGATGACAAAAATGATACCGATAGAAATGATAATAACAATGAAAAACAAAGTAATCAACCAAAAAGAACTCGTAGAAAAGGAAATAGTAATTCTGGAAGTCAAAAATCAAATGATTCGAGTAGCAGTACTGGTAAAGACGAATTTTTGAGGAACATATGAAATCATTAAGCATCATCGCCGGTGCAATCAAAAATGGTGTAAATAGATTAATAAATAAATCTGCTTTATTTAGTTGCACTTAGAATACGATTGTATGAGACTTAGGTTGACAATTTTACTCAGATAAATTCTTTTATTTAAATTACACTTTTAATCAAAAGTGTATTTATTTCCTTACATTTCGATGTTTTGCTAATAAAATTATTTCAGACAATAAGACCGATTTGGAGAAAGTTATACCGAAGGGCGCTGCGGTTGTGGATCCTGAATGTCATGGATTAATCGGCACTGCACATGTTTATACTGATTCCAGCGATGTTTATGACGCTTTATTGAATCAGGTTACATATCTAGATTGCTTATGCTCAATATTTTCTGTTGAATCTAGTTCTAAGAAATAAAAGTAGAAGTTACTCGAAATCGTGTTTTACACATGTGATGTTGCAACATGATTTCGCAAGTTTTGTTTCAGACCAATGCACAACACAATAACAATAAATATTTTATTATACAACTGTTAGAATGTGATGAAGAAAAGCGCTATTGGGTTTGGTTCCGTTGGGGGCGCGTCGGCTACAAAGTTTGTTTTTATGGATTCCTTCCTATATATTCTGATTTTCATTGATGTCTATTCAGTGATGTGCCATTGTCCGCTTCTTTGAATATAAACCTCATAATATCTTAAAAAAATACTTGAAGTATTTGAAGGGACTTTGGTTTTGCATCTTGAATTATTTGACTGTTTATCAAGCGGTTGCCTAAACCAGACAAACGTTACTTTTCGAAATTAGCATGAATTTTTCTGTCAAGTTATATAATATGTTTAGGGACAAACCAGTTTGAATCCATGTGATACAAATTTGACACTTGCAAAGAAATTATTTTGTGACAAGTTCAAGAACAAAACAGCAAATGACTGGACAGAAAGAACCAATTTCAAGAAAGTAGTTGGCAAATACGACTACTTGCCTGTTCGTTTCTTCAAATTCAAACGGTTTTAATAGTAAAGTTTTCAACAATTTATGGTAGTTCTCTCCAATGTCAAATAACATTGTATTTCTAAGGCTGATTACTCGAAAACAATAGAAGAGAAAAAGAATGAAAATGATGCTAAAGAGAAAAAAGAAATTGAATCAAAACTGGACGCTTATCTGCTACATTTATTAAACATTATCTGTGATATACGAACAATGGAGGAAACGATGACAGGATTGGAATATGACGCCACTAAAGCACCGCTAGGTAGGACATCTGACTCCTTGATTTTTAGGAATTGCACCTTCTGTCTTTTGAGTACCTAGCACAACACCTCAATCTCCACTTTTCTTCGTCAGTAGACAAGCAAAACCATTAATGAATTAACGATCAGTCGTTACTCTCAAATTTTATTGTGCATGTTAGTTTTTTTCCGAATTGCTCACTCGGTAGATTATGCAGCTGTAAGTATCGTATTGCAGTGCATAATTCGTTGCCTTCAGGGAAAGTAACGGACGAGCAAATTAAAGCTGGTTATGCAGCGCTGACAAGGATTGAAGAGCATATTAAGAAAAAGGATTTCTCGTCTAGTTTTGTGGAAACTGTCAACAATTATTACACAAAAATACCTCACTTTTTTGGGTAACTATGTGTACCTGAAATGGTACTTGTTAAATTCAGTATGGCATGCCTCTCGGTAGTCTGGCGTATCAGACATGTTATGTTTGAGCTTTCAAGATGACGAAATCTGATATTCGTTATACTGTGAATCATCGAATTCTTCAGTGCATTTGTAGGATGCGTCAGCCGCCAATGATTAAGACAGTGGAACAGCTAAAAGCTGAAATTAAATTGTTAGAGGCTTTGAACGAGATTGAAATGGCTATACGGACATTCAAGAAGGAGGGAGATGTGAATATTCATCCAATCGATCGTCATTACATGAATATGAAATGCGAAATATCACTCCTAAGTGCAAATAATCCTATGTATAAGGTTTTTTGCTTGAACAGTTTCTAGTAAAATATTCCAGGCAATAGCTTTTTGATTGAAGAAAATGACTCACAAGGAGGGCAGCGCCCCCTTGTGAATTGCTGTTTATTCGGCAAGAATGATCATTTTAACTTGTTGTGGAAGTTGCGTTGTGTCGGAGTTTTGTCGGTTGGCAACTAAGATTGGATGTGCAAAAGACTTGTAGAGTCTGGTATATTTATTCTTTCGTTACGTAATCGACAAATATCAACGAATAATAACTGAAGTTGATCGTTAACTGGTTTGGAAGTCCCTGCAGTTATATTGGGGATTCCGGAGCGCGCTGCTCTTGTAGGGGCGATAGTGATGAAACTAAATTCAAATGATTAACTCTCTTGTTTGTGTGCTGGAGTGGTTTACAATACTTCCATAAAGTACATTTAATAGACCGGAAGAAGATTACAATAAAGCTTTGTCAATTACAGTAATTGGCATGGGAATATAAGCTTGGCTAATATATTGAAACATCTTCAAACAAAGAACGCTGTCAACACTATATAGGGCTTTGCGTCTACAATCTAGACATGCAATTAAAAATAGAACAGATTAATGACAGACAATTACAGCATCTTATAACACGAGTTGAGCTACACATCTTTACAATATTGACATTATTTTTATGCTAAAATATTTCTTTTTTGCCGATACCTGTTGCTATCTATGTGTCATTCTTTTCACAACATAGCTTGTGAATAATTACCTCCAATGGACGCATGGTCCAACGCATAATATGTATCGTATGCGCATTCGTAATTTGTACGCAATAAATCGAGAGGGAGAACAGGAAAAATTCATGTTCGATGTTGGCAACAGGTTTAAATTGACTTGTTTTTTTTTATAATTCAATGGAGAACTATTCATAATTCAAAATTCATTTTAGGATTGTTTTGTTAATTTCTCAGTTTTCGAGTTCTTTAGATGTAAGAAACATATTATAGTTTAGAAATCTTTTTACTGCAATTAACCGATGGAGTTGCGAGACAGTTTAGTGTTATTGTTTAATTCCTTGTTCAATGTTATTCTTCCGAAAAAAAAATTCTAGTGCTGTTAAAAAAACTTGAATGCTGTGCCAGTAAAACAGGAAGTGAGCTCATTCCTTTTTCTTCACTGCTTTGTTGAAAAGTTTGTTTGCTCATTTTTGTTTCCGTCAGTGATTTTTGTAGCTCATGAAAATGTTAGTTTTCCCAAGGCAATAAAAATTCCAGGAAGTTATTATGGCATGGATCTCGATTGACAAATTGGTTTAGTATCTTATCTCAAGGATTGCGAATTGCCCCACCAGAGGCTCCTACAGTAGGCTTTGATAATTGTTTTCTATGAATTTTTTTATCTGTTTTGTTATTTATCCTTTAATAGCTTAAAATATGTCTTTGACTTTTGTTTTAGACCGGTTACATGTTTGGTAAGGGTATTTACTTTGCTGATATGTCAACAAAATCAGCCAATTATTGCTACCCACAAAAAAATAAGCCTGGCTTTTTGGTATTGGCGCAAGTCGCGTTGGGAGAAATGCACGAATTACTGCAAGGCGACATTCATGCTAGCAAGCTTCCTGCAGGAAGGAATAGTACTAAAGGATTAGGTTCAATTGTTCCCGATCCAGCTACATATGTCACTTTGTGAGATTTTTGATTTTATTCCGTCATTTTTTCTAATTTTTCTTGCGATTCGGCTTGTTGAAGTTCAGAGCATATATGTATGTATACATATGTATTCAGTAACCTCTTTGGAAGTGTATCACGTAGCATAACCTGTGTAATGGTACATTTTAATCTCTCGCAGAAGCTTGAATAAGGCTAGTAATAAACATGTATCAAACTATTCTGCGTAATTTGTCCTCTGTTTGCGATTGTATATAATAAATTAAATTGCTTCTTAACTCGAAACTTCTGATCTTTTGCAGAGACGATTGTGAAATACCGTGTGGTAAGCCGGTCACAGTACAACCAAAAGGCGGGGCTTCTTCACTTATTTATAACGAATACATTGTTTACGATGTAAAACAAGTTTGGATTCGTTACCTCATTGAAATTGATTTCATTTTTAACTGAATTATGCATATATTCAATTACTTATTTCGACCTACATATTTATTCACTTGTTTTTTTTTTATCTTTTTTTTTATCCGCATATTTCACGATTTGTTTCTCTCCGTATATCTGTTGTTCACACATTCGTTTCCACTCACATATTTATTTAGATGTAAATTGCTTTAGAAAATTTTTCGTATGTTTTACAAATCTTTGACGTATGTTTTCTAGTACTTTTTAATATTTCTTTATTTCAAATGCTATTATTAATTCGGCATCTAATACCTGGATGAGCGATCAGTACTTGAATTTGTTGAGCTACGCTGTCTATACCTACCGAATGGAAAGGTCGATGAATTTTGGAGACTTTGTTGCCGAGATTAAAAATTTGTTATTTGGTTCGGAGAAGAAAACGACAAAGTGAAGATTTGTCTTTCGAAATAAGATGCTTCCTAAATAAAATTATGAAATTAACTTAATGCTCGGAAATGAATGGTAGCACATTCTGTTTATCTGTCATCTAATTCAAAAGATTGTTGAACACGGAGCTTAAATATGTTAGAAAAAGCTTCGTCTGTGCTATGGGGGATTCTTCAGGGTAGTTTGTTTCGGAATAAATTCTTGGGCTTTTATATTTTAAAGTGGAAGAAATTTCTGCAAATGGAACGAGGTCCTTCCACTCACTTTGTTGAGATAATTCGTTTTTGTTTTTTTTTTAAATTTCTTTGACATTAGCTTGAATTACTACTTGCATAAGACGTAGACTTTTTAAATCAGTTCAGCAAACAATGTTGTAACCTTGCTTGAACTGTTATAAAGAGTAATGCCATAAGTCAAAAGACGTTGTTTAGATTCGTTTAATTATAAAGTTTTCTTTTTAAGGTTTTTTAAATGCTATAAAGTTATTTTGCATCGTTAACAAAGCGGAAGATTATTAAAATTAGTGCAGCAAATTCCAGCTGTTCGTCCAGCTATTTTCCTGACTTAGTACCTTCCCGTCCCTCACCTGTTTTGGCCAAGAAAATTACCCTGGAATGTTAATGGATCTATAATGCACTCATTTATGCATGTATGTCCATTTGCAGATGAAATAAAAGAAAAAGAAGGAGGGAACATGGCTGATTTTGATGATTTTGGTTTATTGGCGCAAATGGCTCGACGGGAGTTAATCCATCTGCTAGAATCAATGCCTGAAGTAAAAGATTTGGCAGTTGAGCCAAGTTTGATGCGTCCGTTGGACAAAATTGCATCGATGTCCGTACTGCAAGCACATAACTGTGCTCACGTGCAACAGTTCCTACATCATTCAAGTTTGACGTGGAGTGAGAATGCACTACGCCGTGTATATATTATACGTCCCACGTTAGCTGCAACAAAACGTATTGCCGAGCATATTTTAGCCGAATCAGAACGAAACTATTCAGTGATATTCGTTCCACAACGATTATATATTTGTGAGCAAGAATTCGAACGTTGTGGAGTTTTTGGTATGGTTGACGTACTAGAGCTAGAATTACCACTTATCAGCATCGATACGCATTTATTCAGCTTAGAACATCATGAATTTACAATGGCCACTTTAGTGGATCATACCTTCATTCATCTTCGTGCTGTTGCTAAATCACTATGGCAATTGCAGACACTTTACGGATTGATACCGATCGTTTATGGTGTTGGAGAAAATAGTGTGCATGTGAATAAACTGATGAAGAAATTGCACACTGAACTAGGTGAACCATGTTCATCACCTGATCAACCCATTGGTCATCTATTTCTCTTCGATCGAAGTTTAGATTTAACAACTGTTTTTCTTACGGGTTTAACATACGAATCAATGGTACATGATACTTTCGGAATAAGTTGTGGCAAAGTAGTATTTGGGGAAGAAGTAAACAAGCGTATGAAAAGTGGTAGTACGAATCGTTCCAAAATTACCACTTTGGATAACAACGATCCTATTTTTTCAGCTGTACGAAATATGCATATGACTGCAGTTTTTCCATTCCTAAGTGCTAAAGCAAAGTCTCTCCAAGCAAGGTACGACAAAGGTTCTAGTCTAGAACAAGTAAAAGATATGAAAGAATTCGTTTCCAATGAATTACGGACGCTTAAACAGCAACACAAATTATTGGAATTGCATATTTGCGCCTGTGAAGTGGTTCTGGAAAAATGTAAGGGGATCTCGGATCGACTTACTCTGGAACATGCCTTGATTTCAAAAAATTTTGATCCCAATGAGGTGATGGCTTATCTAGAAGATTGTATGTGTACCCAACGCGATCAGTGGCAAATTCTCTTGCTGGCATGTTTGTGGTCCCTTACCCAAAACGGTATTCCGACCAAATATTTTGTTCAATTCCGGAATCAGTATTTGTATGCTTTTGGCCATGAAAACCTTGCAGTACTACATTTCCTTGGTATCCAGGGTCTCTTAATAGAGCGTTCTACTCCGCAACTGCCAACTGTACATACCGTTATTCCCTTGAAACCTCATACAGTTTCATCCTTTTCTAAGCCTACATTCCAATTTTTGGCACGGCGCATGACTCTTCTTCCCGGAGATACCGAATCACCGATGGATCTCCGAAATCCGGACCAAATGCGTTATGTTTTCTCGGGTGTCTATACACCCATCCTGTGCAAAATAGTCGGCGATACTTTAAACAATGGATGGAATATGCAAGAAATGAAAGCAACTTTTGGCGATTCAGTCTTCTGCGATCAAAATTCGTACACTCGTGCAAGTCGGCCACCTGATAGTCGTATCCGGAAAGCAATTTTGGTTTATTTTATTGGTGGTGTAACATATTCGGAGATTGCTGCACTAACTTTGCTTGCACAATACAATAATTTGCGTATTATTATCGCTGCAACAAACATCATTCATCGTGAAAAATTCATTAAAGAAATCGCTAATGTTTCTGTCACACCTTGCTGAAATGAATAGTTCAAATTTCTTAATCTGAATAGCTAAGCTTATATCAGTGATTATTTATGCGTGCAACCTCCTCGCGTTGTTATTTTAATCGCCGGAGGTACTTATAAAGAAGTTGAATTTACATGTTTTAAATTATTCGAGTTTGAAATGAGTGAACAGTAATGATTGGTTTGAAAAAAATGATAATTTTGAAATGATAATTCCTTTACATCTTAGTAGTCGTTTTGGAATTTTATATACATAGTTTTTGCACTGAATTGTTCCATTTTTCATGCAATTAACAATTAATTATTTAATTTATAAGTAATTAGCAAGGAGTGCAAAATTTGAAACATGTTGGTGCGTATTCCAATTCGAAATATTATTCAGTTTATGTTTTAATTCATAGAAATTCTTCGAAATTCGTTGTGAGTTTAATAATGCGTGAAAAAGTGCCTGTTGAAAATTATCTTCAAATGAGAATTCTGTTTGTATTTGCGATCATGCTGTTTTGTATGAAACTTGAAATTTGTGCCTTAACCATGCTTCATGTTTTATCTCTCCAAAATGTATTAGAATGTGACGTCGAACTTTATTTCTGTTAAGTGTGGTCACTGGAAGGTTAGCTTATCATCTAGAATTGACATTTGACCAAACAGTCCATGTGATTTTTCTGAGAAGAAATCTTTTATTTACTTCCAGTTGAAATCAATTTGAGGATTTCCGGCGATCTGGCAATAACTTCTAAACTGATAATACCATCAAATTATCATGCAATAATTTTGCTATTATTTTGTGGATGGTTTGAATACATTTATTACTTTAAAGTTAAAATTCTACAACAGTTAGTGTTTCCGGTTTGTTTTACATAGTATATCCTACTTTTAGCAAGTTTGAATATTTCTAAAATTATCCTCTCAATGACCTTACACTTTTCTTACAACGTTACGAAAATCAAGTGTTGGTAAAAAGCCATTTTTTATGAGTTATTTGCTTGGAAGAATCTGGGAAGATAAGAGAAGAGAAACTTGGTAGCTTGATATAAGAGAATTCCAATCTCTGGAAGCATAGATTATAGTCTCTGTCATAGCTGGATTATGATCTGAATCTTTCTATGATCAATATCAGATCTAGACCAAATCTTTACTCCAAGTATCCGTTTTATTTCATACAGACTGCTGTGCGATCGATTATGCCAGTTGTTCGTTATTTTTACTGAAAAATTTCAATGTATAGAACTTTGAAATATGTAGAACTGTAGAACTTGGATCATATATATATATATATATATATATATATATATATATATATATA